AAGTCAGCCCTTGTTAAAACTCGAGTTGGCTTTGGTCTAATGCTTGTTAACAGGATTCTGGGTATTTGCTTTAGAGCAGGAGTGGAGGAACCTTTCACAGGCAATTTAATCTGAGCAGCGCACAGCAGTGGCGCTGGAATGGGGTTTTGAGCCCACATACTGGCCATTTCCCCTTGCCATCTAGTTGTGATCTCTCTGGGTTAAAAAAGACTTGGCTTTGGTTATTAGTATCATTAATTTTTGAATATTTTTAATATTTTAAAATGGCTAATGAATGCTCACATTTTAGGAGATAGATGTGTACATAGTACCCAGGAGTGCTAGAATTGGTGGCATTCCAAATAAGTGTCACCAGAGACAATGCATCAGGTTTACATGTCAGGTGCAAAGTGCTAAGGCACCCTCAAACTCCAGGTTCATTATTAGGCGGGCTCTGTTCTCCCGTCGCCCTTGTGAAGAAAATAAAGTGTGCACTCTGAAGATTACAACGTGCAGGTCTTTTGTAGGAGAATGGAAAATATATGAGAAGTGTCTCTTTGGTGAAGACCGTCAAGAACCTGGATTCTTCTTCCCACTGGGGATTACTTACCCCACATGATGCATTCGACAGCGCGTAGTTCACAGCAGAAAAGCCCCGAGCGCACTGTACTCTATTGATTTATACAGTTACAAATCCTCAAACACAAATCTCTCTCAATTGGCCAATCATCTTGGATCCAAACGTGTTTTTTGACCTGAAGTCCTCTTTCTTTTTCAGAGTCGCTGTCAGGGTCTCCAGCATAACCATACTTAGGTTGTGAGATGGCAAAGAATATACTGCTCTCCTTTGCACCTCAGTTTTCCCTCTGCTTCTGAAATGATAACCAGTGGAAGTTAGCCAAGTTTCCTTAAAATTGTGGAGCTGATGTTGGCGGGGTTGTTTTATTTTGCTTGGGGAGGGGCAGGAGGATAGATAATAGGGCCACAGGGATTAAGGGGAGAGAGAAACTTCGCTTCTGTTTTCTTCTGAGTTTGTCATTTGTATTTGTATTAAACTAGCTACTAGAAATTTGAGGTGGACTCATTAGGAACTCAATCAGGGCAGGAGAAGGGGAGAGGAAAGGCGGTTCAGTATTTATCATGGGCTCCACAGTGAGTGGCTCAATGACGGCATCAGGAATTTTCCCTGGCTTGCTGCACTCCCACAACATGTGCAGTAAAGTTCCTGTCTCCGTTTTACATCTTTGACATTGAGGCGGAAGATTTGGCCTGAATTTATGTAATTTACTTGGGCACAGATATAACCCATGAATAGTCACATTCATCTTCTAAGTAGAAAATCAAATGATAACACAGGACAGGCTGCAGCACCCCATCATTGAATCAACGAAAGTGTGTTGTGTGTGCTGGATTTCTGCAGAGGGAAGTCAGTTGAATTGCTTCATGAAGTTAATGAAAAGGGCCCAAAAATGGGCGGGTGAGAGACCCAAAGCGAGTGCATGTCAGTTACTCCGTGGGTGAAGATCCTTGCATTATGGGTGAAGAGTTTTGGGAAATCTTTTACTGTTGCTGTATGAATCATAGGGCTATAAAACTGGAGGTTGGACAGGTGCCCCCCCCTCCATTGTACGGCCAGTGTCTTGTGGGGAGGGAGGAGAAAAGTGAGAAGTAGCCCAAGAAATAATTAGTGAAAGGAGAGAGGTTTTCATGGGCTCACACTTACATGTGGCCGCTTATCTGGGTGTCTTTCTTATTCAGCACATTATGTTGAGGCTGTTAGTTTGGGTGCTTTATATTTTTGCATCTGGCGTAGTGATATCGATGCTGTTAAATATGTGATTTGCCTGTCGCCTGCATTTTCAGACAAAGATCAAGAGGAACATAAACAAGCCCCAGATACACTTTATGTAGGTGTTTGGCAGTATCATTTTATATGGCTTGAAATTAGTGAATGGAAACTTTAAAAGAAATTGTTCATATTTTTGCAAGTTTGAAGTGCCGGGACTTTGTCAAATTCCCGTTAAAATAAATACGTCAATTTCATCTCCCTTCCAAATTCATTTATCTTGCTTTTTTAAAAGGTGTTTTCTACTTTACCTGATGTTTAAATTGGATTCGCTCGTTTATGCTGTTCTTTGCTATATCCCCCACGTTTTTCTTAAATGAATTACTAATGACAGAGCACTCCATCATTCCCTCTCTGCAGCCACTTTAAGGAAAGCATGGTGATCTAAACCTTTTAACCTATTAAAGATGATTTTTCCCAATTGAATCAGACCCACCACAGGTGTAATAACTAATCATTTAAACTACACCTGCTATTATGTATTTTTAAGCCATTATGCGTGTTGGATAGATGATAATTCATGTTTATTGCATTGTCCGATGGATCCGTTTTGCCTACACTAGGCTGATTAATGTATTTAAAGAAATAAGAGATGCAATTTTAAAAAAAAAATTGATGGAATGCGCCAAGCACTGCATTGAGTGCACCATTAAACCCATCAGAACTTTGCTCTCTGACCAGAAATGCATATACCAAGGACTATATTAAAAAAGCAAGGTGAAACCTGTGCATTTTAGTGGTGGGATTTTGTTTTCTTTCTCTGTCATGGGAAATTTTGGGAGGATGCGGGAAAGGCTTCTTTTTTTCTGCGGGTGAATGATGGGAGCTGTGCTATTTGCATCTCCTACTTAAGACCTGTTCATCCACATTTCTTCTGACACCTGGCGCACATGTCACAGCCACAGAGACTGCCACATGATAGCAATACTGTCATTTTCTTGTGTGTCGAAGGTGCATTTTTCCTCCAGGTGAAGAACAATTATCCCAGAGCCATCTGAGCAGTGCGGATTGGTGTTGACCCCACGGGACTCGGATGTGTACCTACTTGTCCCTTCCCTTTCTGGAGCATGGGCCTTTCTTCCTTTGGGTCCCTCCCCTTCTTTTTTAAAAATTTAATTTTTTGCCCATTTATAGTTTGTCCCCTTCTGCCTTCTCCCTTTTTATTTCCCTCCTCTACTCATTCTCTTTTCTTTATATCTCTCATTCCTCTTCCTGTTCATTAAAATGCATCAGTATTATAGATACTTGTTTGATTTTTCTTGGTTTTTGATGCAGCCTTAGGTGATCTGGTTGAGGAGCTAAGAGGATGATACACAGTTTTGGGGTTCTGGAAGCTCCAGGCTGATTTTTCCTTAGCCCAAGATGGTTGGTTGTCACTGTATTTCATATTGGTGGGCAGTGCTGTTCGAGGTGTTGGAGGAAAGATTGTGGCCCACAGGGAGCTGGGCGTGTATCAACTTGGATGACAGGCCCAGACCAGGAGGGTCAGGACACGGAGCTCATGCTTTAGGAAGAAGTCTAGGGTAAGCCTCCCACAGAGGGGTTACAGGAAAATAAGGGAGTTTCCCTGGCCTTTTTTCCCCCTCTTTTCTGATTTACCTTCATATCTTTTTTCCTAGTAAGTTTGCCTGGTCTCAGGATTAAATTGATATAAATATGGAGACGGAGATGATTTGTAACTTGGATTTTATTTATAGTCATAGCACTTTCTGTTTGCAGCTCTGTACAACTATTTCCCTTACTTTTAGGATCACAGAAAACTTTCTTACATCTGGTTCCTAGGAAATGTTTGTTTTCAACAACTCCCAAGTAAACTAACTGCGAGCTTGTTGGTCTTACCTGCAACAGGAGATCACATGATTCTTTTGGTTCTGATACCGTGAATAGTGCCACTCATTCCAAGTAGCCCCTTCCGCACCTGAGGCAGGTTGGCGCTTCCTATCAGTCGGATCAGTGTCTGTTATGGGGAGCAGACAGGCCTTGTGTGTGCCGAGTGATATGGAGGTTAATGCCTTTACCAGTTTCCCTTCCATCCCCTCCTTGGCTTATTTGTAGTTATGAAGATTTCATTAAATAATACTCATCATCAGAGGTAGGTAGATAATCTGTCAGTCTGTCTGCTTATGTCAGGGAAGCCCCCCAGCTTTGCCCTTTGAAGGCTCTTCAGAATCCAGCTCCATTCATGGGAGGGACTGTGACCAGCCACGTGTATTGTCTCTTACACATTCCCTTTTTGTAGTCCACAGACGCTTAGCACTTTGCCAGGCTCTGTACCAGAGCACAGTCTCTTCCCCTCAGTTCCATGCAGAGTAGTTGGGGAAGCTGCCTGAACGTTAGAAGACAGTATAATTATGCCTTCAATTACATGGTACAACTACAGCATTGAGTTGAAGAGAATGGGGAGATCGGGATGGCTTGCTTATGTAAGGAAGATTCCAAGGAGTCAGAACTGGCTATAAAAGGGCTGTACTGAGGAGTGCATGTGTGTAACACATAGACAGGCTGAGGCGGGAAATGAAGGCCTGTGTGGCCCAAGGGTGGTGACTCCATGAGCATGGCTGAAGAAGCAGCTCAAAGAGAAGATGGGAAAAGCTCTTTGCAGGTCTGCAAAGCTCGATGTGGGGCATTAGATATGATTAACTCAGATACAAGAGTCAAAGCCAGAAGCCAGTGAAGACAGGCAAATGATCTAGTCCTTTTTTGGTGGTGGTGTTTTTGAGCCAGGGACTCACTTTGTATTTCAGGCTGGCCTTAAACTCACTATGTAGCCCAAACTGGCCTTGAGCTCATAGTGATTGATCCTCCTGCCTCAGCCTCCTGAGTGCTGGGATTATAGGTGTGTACCACCACACCTGGCTCTTTTTTTTTCTGGGGGTGGGGGTCGGGGTGGGGGGGTGGTGGCACAGGGTCTCATTATGTAGTTTAGGCTGGCCTTGAACTCACCATGTAGCCCAGGCTGGCCTCGGAAGGGAACGTACAGTGATCCTCCTGCCTTAGCCTCCCAAGTTGGGGGATTACAGGTGTGCACTACCACTCCCAGCCTAGTAATGTAGTCTTGGATTTAGGTAGATTTGAAATTTACACTTATGTCTAGGGCCCAGGAACTCATAGACTTTTTCATCTTCAAATTCAGACCACTGAAGCTTACTCTTCCCCATTTTATCTTCCCCACCAGATTGCCACAGCAGTGAAGTTTCTACAGAATTCTCGGGTCCGCCAGAGCCCGCTTGCAACCAGGAGAGCATTCCTGAAGAAGAAAGGTACAGGTTCTCACAGCTGCATACCAGGGCTGGGGCTGGGGCAAGTGGAAGCCACAGAGCAGAAGGCAGGCGCTGAGTGGAGCAAAGATCTTCCATGGCTGTGTACTTGTGTAAAGTTGGGGGGCTGGGGACCTCCCCAAATCCAGAGTGCAGGTTTCCTTCCTAACAGAGGAGCCTCTGGCGAGGTTACATGATTCGGGTAATTAAACACCAGAGAGAAGGCCAAGAACACCACGGCAAAGGCAGTGCTCAGTAGCAACACTGGCCCCTGGAGAAGTGTGGGGCACTTCTGCTTTCTGGTGCTTTCTTCTGTCCCTGACCCTAGCTGCAGAATGACTGGCCTTAGGCAAGGAGGCTGCCTGCTTCAGTAAAGAATGAGGAAGAAAGAAGCAAAGGACGAGGGAAGCGAGATGACTAAACAAGGTCAGGTTAAGGTCAAGCCAGGGGTCAGTCTGATTTACAGATTGAAGTGGTAAAATACTAGTTTTATGGCATTTCTGTAAGCGCGGACAAAATAATCCCGACAAATTCACTGTCTGAAGCAGACACAATCTATTCTAGCTCTGTTGGAATTTAGGACATTTTTTGTGTGTGTGTGTGAAGTGAAAACAATTAACCAACCAAAAAAAGAAACTGGACTTTTTATTCTTGGAACTCCTTAATTTTGTAGAAATCTAGGAATTTGTTTAAAGGTCTTTATATCACATGGGGGAGGGGTGAGTTTTCCTCAAAGCAGAATTCCTTTTTTCTGTAAAAACTGGAATGTTGGCCTTAAAATTCTGGTGTTTCCATCACTTTTGGTTGGAATGAATGATGGCTGTTTTGAGCACACTTCCCTGGTGCCCCATGCTGCACTGCAGGAGTCCCCCACACCCGTGCCTCCCTGGGCCAGCCCTGCAGTGTTTGGGCACAGGATGCCCAGGCATTTCATTCACAGGCAGCCGCTTCGCAGCAGCCCCAAGGCTGGTCCCTGAGACAGAGTTGGTGAGAGCCATTGCGTGCTCCCTGGCTGCGTCGGCTCACCCCCCATCATTAGGTGATTATTAAAATTTGGAGTGTGTTGGCTGGCCGCTCCATTCCGCAAGCATCATGCCATAAAAGAGTTTTTCCTTGAAATATGTGTACCTATGGGGAGTAATTAATCATAAAAGCTTAGGGATTTCAGCTCTCTCATCAAAGCATCGAAGTGGGGGAAAGCTGAGCCTAAAAGCTGAGCTGATTACCCGGGGTAACCTGAGACAAAATCTATGGTTGCCGAGAGATCCTTAGCCCAGTGTATTGTGCAATATTATAACTGTCTGATCTTCTCTTCCACCGACAATGACCAGTTAGTCCTCATTTTCTCTCAAACGCAGCTGGGTTAGAATTTCATTTGCAGAAGGTATTTAGAGCAATTTAGAGACAAATGTCTCTGGTGTTTGCTCGGCACTTCCCCACCGCAGGCTTTGCTGAGCAGTTTTAGTATCAGGAGCTCCATCTAATCTGTTTAATTTTAATAAATCCCTGACTGGGAGAGGGAGAGAAAAGAGAGAGAGCGAGAAACTCTGGACCAAATAATACTTCTTTTGAGTCACTTGGCTCATAATTACTATAGAGAGGAAACTGTTCTGTGCAATTATTATTTGGTGCTCTTAAAAAAAATAAGTGACCAATGACTTCACCCAAGAGTGAGCATGCACCCCATGCCACCCTGCTTCTTGCCACAAGGGATCTGCCTAGAACAGGACAGACAAAAGTCCCTGTCTTCGGAGAGCAGCCATTCTAACGGGGGCGGGAGGGGGGCAGGCAGTGACCGAATGGAAAAGTGGAGGACATGGTCTGTCTGCTGACAAGTGGCATGGGGACATGGAAGGCAGGAAATGAGTGATGCGGATGCCAGGCTGGTGCAGGGTGGATTTGATTTTAAGGAGGGTGGATGGATGTCAGCTACCTGTGAGAGGGTGGACTGTGAGCAGGGACCTGAAGGAGATGTGTGTTTGTTGATAGGGTGACTCCCTAACCTGGGTTAGTGCTTTTAGAATTTTGGGCACTTGGAACACTGTGAGAAGCCACCCTACCCTTCTTGCTCTAAACAACCATACAAGTTTACCCCTGTTCTTAAGCCCAGAATCACCGAGGCTAATCAGCCATCTCCATTATCCTCTAAAATGCTGCTTCAGTTGGTAATTATCCATTTCCGAGTTGAATCCCAGCAGAGTAAGTTCTGGCAGGACCTTTTCTGGGCAGAGAATTCCAAGGTTTGATGGGCGTCTGGGGAAGAAAAGGCCCTTTGTGGGTTTGAACTTCACTTTTTGAATTTCCGCTATTCCTTGGGTCAGGCTTACACGATCACGCTGCTTGACACCACCTCTGATGGTGGCTGAGCAAGGAGACCTGCACTGTCCCTAACACTGGCTGCCGAAGGGAAGGGCGTGGCTCACTGTGGGCGGGTGGGACGGGGTTCTGGCACCCATAGGCCCAGCTCCCCAAAGGATCACAGCGGTGGGTTTGAGGCTCTGGTTTTGGGAGCGCTCCCAGCTACCGTCGCCTTGGCTTTTCCTAGCAAGTGTCACTTTGGGGAATTGCAGTGGAGCACTGACTTGAATTATAATTTTGACTTTATTTTTTTTAATAAACTTCTCTTTCCTGAAAAGGCAAATCCAATTTTGTTTTTCTTTTAATATTATTTAATATTTAATATAGAAATTGAGGTCCCTGTAGTGCATGTCAGTTCAGTGGAAAATGAGGGTTACTTTAGGAGCATCAGCTGAGTTTGTTGTATTGTGAAACCACAGCCCAGAGCAGGGGCTGCGTCCTGCCTCGCTCCTGACAGGTTAAGTGTTGTGCTCTCTGGCGGGGGTGGGGGGTGGAGCGTGCGTGGGCAGGCACGGGAGGGCATTGATTTGTAGAGGTCTGTCTTGTTTAGGTTTTCAGGGTTTTTGTTTTGAGATCTCTTTTGGATGCTTTAAAGTCTGAATATGGAGTCATTAATGAGAAACATGAAGTTATTAGAATCATTTATCATTTTCTTTGAAGTTTGTACTGCCATTTTGTGTAATTTACAGCATTTCTTCCTTTTATCGGGAATTTTTTGGATGAAAGAGAAAAGCAGCTCTTCACCTTCAGAGTATTAGGATAAATGTTTTTGTTTTCCTTCCAAGCACTCAATTCTGCCGAGGACACATCAAGTGCAGAGGCAGCCACACACGATGATGATTGGCCTGTGTGTGGGGCTTGAGCCCTCATAGAACCGGTCTATATATAGAAGCACTTCTTGCCAGGGAGGCATCCTATCTGGGGCTGTAATCAGGCTGCAATCCAGAAGGCTGGAGTAACTGAAAAACAGCTCTAGGGTCAGTGCAGAAAGTTAGAGGCTTGGAAGTTGTTAGTAGAGAGGTTGATTTGACACGAGATGTGGGTGCAGTCTCCTTCTACACATGTTTAGCAGGCTGAGTACAAACGGGTAAAGGGGCAGAAGGAGGATGGGATGGTGCCAGGGGATAGACTTGTCTGTTGACTGCTCCTAACGTACCTATTGCAAAGCAGGCTTCTGGAAAAAGATGAATGTCGTGTATTTTTCTGCATAATCCTGTAGAGTGGGGCCAGGGTGGTGCTGGCTGACACTTTTACTTACTGTGTTCTTCTGGAGTATATTAGTAGGGACCGTTTTCTCTTTCATCTAGTAAGTGGTCATAGCGTGGGGGATGGGAATGGAAAAGAGGAAAACTAAATAAAACACACCGCTACTTTCTCATTCTAAAAGGTGAAACCAGATCTTATCTTTCTTCTCTGTTCCTGGAAGTGGAACCCCCATAGCAGAACTGCCTCCTTGCTGGAAATGAACTTGAGGAAGAGGAAGCCTGCCGGGCTCAACCTTGGTATTGGGGTAGAGGTGAAGGGCTACTCTCACCGGAGTATTTTAAGGGGGAGTAAATTCTTACACAGATTTCAATTTAACTCTCTTTTATTACTTTTCTCCTTTTTTTTTTTATCATTTACGTCCATTTCATGAGGTAGTTTGCATGTCCTTGAATGGAATCTCGTTACCATGAAAGCTTTTTTAGCATTGATTTCATAACAGTCTTAATTTAATAGCTCCGTCATTACTGAGAAGCTCTGGGAGTAGGGCCCTGGCTTTCCAGGTCACTGACCTTTTAATTACAAACCTTGTTCTGATGGCCAGGTTATCGACTGGACAGCTCCCAGCTTGTGCCCCCAGGATGAAAACGAAAATAACTGTGTTTCCTCCCCCATCTCCAGGAAAAAAAGAAAGTAACCTCTTGTGTTTCTAAAATTAATTTTCTCCTTCAGCTTTACTTTATAATTAATTCTTTAATGTGTCTTAGTGAAGCCAGAAGTCTTTTTACAAGGCTTTTGTTCCTGGAGCTGGGGTCCAGCAGGCAGCTTGGGGGTAGGGGGCGCACATCTTGCCAGAGCCACCCCTTGCTGGACCGAGGCCTTTTCCTCTTCCCCAGAATTCCTGGAGCTGAGCTGGAAGGAGTAGTGTTGGCCCTGTGAGGGGCCGTCTGGCCCTTCTGAGTCTTTGTTAATGAGACATGGATTATGGCTCCAAGATTTAGATTCATTCCTGTGTTTATCAGAGTAATTGGAGCTGGTATATCATGCATTTTTTTTTTTTGATACTAGCGATTGAACCCAGGGTCTTCATACTGAACTACGATATCCCCAGCTCTTTTTCATTCTACCTTTTGAGACAGGGTTTCACTGAATTGTTAAGTTGTCCAAGCTGGGCTTGAACTCACTATCCTCCTGCCTCAGCCTCCCAGAGTACTGTGATTACAGGTGTGTGCTGTGAGGCCCAACTTATCATGGACATTCTAAAAGACATTCCTATTCTGAGAAAAGAAGGGAATAGAATGAGGTTGTTTTTGTTTTGTCCTTATCTAGTAGTCTTAGATGCCTGAGAGGCAAGTATACTTAGCCATGGAGTTCTACTTAGCCGTGAGTTTGACCCAAGCAGGTTGGTCTAGGAGAGTGGTGGCGAACCTATGGCACATGTG